GATCACCTTGGAGTTGGATAATCTTGCCAAGCTCCTTGTCATGGACAACATTACCATTGCAGCAGAACTCTTTCTTCAGGTCTTTCAGAATCTTCTCATAGCTGAACTCTTTCCTCAGACCTTGCACTGTCGTCAAACTCTTCTTCCCATTACTCTGCTGTATACGGATATGAACATACTCCTTCGCCCCGGGGGCATCTCTATCTTTAGCCTCAGCAAATGGGTCGAAACTGTTACTTGTTATCTGAAAAATACCCACTTCAACCATATATATATATTCCACCTGCAACAAAAAACCTACAAAACAAACCATAAGCTACACAATATTTCAGACCATGCTTCTTAAGTTCGGAACTATCTGGTAGAAGGAGAGACTAACCTCTGAGAAAAGGGAAGACTTGCAAAGAAAGCAAGAGCGAATTGAGGAGAATAGGTAGTGGTTTGTTGTATATATATAGAGTGGTTCGTGTGATTGTGTAGTGAAACTACTTTAGGACCAACTTTTTTTGTCCATCATGCAGAACAGCTTTTGTTGTATGCAGTATTCTGTAAATGTTTGTGCATGTTGATGTTAAGTTTTGACTTTCATTGCCAAAAGTGAAATAAAAGAAAATCTTGATATGAGAATATAAAGTGCTTTTTGGTGGATGGAGTATCATATTCTGGATGAGGTTGATGAGTGGTGGTAATTGAAGGCACAGAATCGCAACATACTTTGTATGGTAGAGAACGATGGAAAGAAGAATTTACATTCAAATTGCATGCTTTGGAGATTCTGTTCCTTTTTTGTTCTTATGCTTGGCTTGGTTGAGTGTTATAGATAAGATCTCAATTTGCCTAAAAAAAAATTATAAAATAATACTTTCATACATATAATTTTTTTTACTTTTGACATTATTTTTTTTTTTACTTTTATTTTTTTAATTTTAGAAAAAATTATAAAATTCACTTTTTTAAAATCATTTCATCTTTGTTAAATGTGTGAAATGAATGTCAACTTGTGTTATGTTATCTTTACTAAAAGAATTCTAGTTCAATTACTAGAAAGGAACTTTTTTTTATCAGCATTTGGTAGGTACATTTAAACCTTTCTGCTAAAGCATATTATTTAAATTTGAGGGGTTTTTGTACGTAAAAAAATAATATCATGTAATGATATAAAATAAATGGTTAAATATGTTTTTGGTCCCTTAACTTTCATTGAAAATTGGAATTAGTCCCTCTTTGAAACTTTGGACCAATTTAGTTAACAAACTTTAGTTAAAAGGACTAAATTCATACATTTCTAAAGTTTGGGGACTAAATTGGTCCAAAGTTTCAAAAAGGGACTAATTCTAATTTTCAATAAAAGTTAAGATTTTCAATGAAAGTTAAGGGACCAAAAACATATTTAATCCTAAAATAAACAATAAATTATAAATTCTAAGTGATTGAAACTTAATATACTTCTAAGGACAGATTACACTTCCTTAAGTTCTACAAAATTAACCTATCAGATCAGTTTTTTAAAAAAATATCATTTTGGCTATAGGCTTATAAATAGACACTTTTCATCAAATATAATCACATATATTTCTTCAGTTTTAATCTCTGATCTTTTTTGTTGTTGTAAGACTCAATATTTTTGTTTGCTTTGTACAAAAATATTTCTTTTCTTATTCCCTATTTCTTTATGTATAAATTTAAAAATACATTTTTTTTCTTAGAGGACGTATAAAGAAGCTGTCAAAAAATATCATAAAATAGTCATAAACCATAAATTTTCATATTCGTGATTGTTATTTACTTCTGAAAAAAACCTTTTACTAAATTACAATTAATGTTCCAAAGATTCAATGTAATTTATAAACAACCTTTTTTTTTTCTTAATAAAATAGCTGAACGGGAAGAAAAAGAAAAATCAGTTTTCACAAACATGTTATTTACTTGTGAATGAATGCAGGTTTAGATAACACAACAGCCTTTTTTTTGTCATCATTTCAGTTTGTAACGTGATAAAAACAGCAACTCGTCATTCTTGTCCCTGTGAGCAAGTAAATAATGGGTTAATTTGTATAAAAATCTGTCATAAGCTATCTATCTTGGTACATGTATGAATTCAAAAAAAGAACATCAAACATTGCAATCTTGAAAACGAATACAACTCATTTAAATCACATTAGCAGTCTATACTGCTAGAAACCAAATCTTCTTGTAATATTTTCAAGCACGTTGCTTCCCTTTTCATCATAATAAAAAATTTCACTGCCTTCAACAAACCAAAGAGGCTTCCACTTGATTTCTAAGCATAATGGATTTCCCAATAATCTGGTATCTTGACAAAAGCTTTAGATCCTTTTTCATGTACAAACACGAAAACTTTTGTCTCAATGACTAGGTGAAGAATACCAAGATAAAGAGGAACATGAACAGAGCCAGCAAACCCAGGATCATCATGATCTGGCCCTTTGCACTAGCCTTCTTCATGACCATTGCTACTTTTTTCTGATAGCATTAACAATGAGAGACATTCAGCTTTAACATTCAATATTTCCCCCTTTTGTTATTGCTAATTAATGACAGCAATAAGCCAGATAGCTCATAAACATTTTAATGAGACAATGGAAACTAGAAGCAGAAACTCACTTGGACAAAATCTAGACGATTGGATGTACTGTCCATCTCATTACCCAGTTCATCAACAATCTTCTCCTGAAACATCAAGGCTTTGACAAATTTAGAAAGAGAAACTTTCCACAGAAACAAAAAAAGACATTAGAACACAACTCTTATTAAAACACTCAAACGAAACACATAACTTAAGTGCAATAGTGTTGTCTAGCTTCCAACTTTTGAAACAAAACATAGTAAGAATAAAAGGGAATCCAGTGCATGACGGACTCCCCCCTATTGGTGTTCTGGTATGATAGAAATATGCAGCCTTGACCCTGCAAGGGTAGAGAGGCTGCTTCTGGGATTTAAACCAGTGATCTCCAAGTCACATGGTGGAAACCAGGTATTCCCAACAAGAAAAATGATACCATCACAGACAAAAAATCTTCTCAAATGCCAAATATACCTGTGCAACGAGCTCATCATGTATAGTAAGTCCAACATCTCCAATTCTTTGTACACTTATACTAAGTTCGTCCAACTCCTCATCCTGTCTCCTATCAACACCAATAGATAATATATGTGTAAAAACTAAAGTAGAAACCAGAGGATGATTTTTTCCCAGACTCTTGAACATTAATACCAGCATTTAGCTGTGTTAAGGCTACCTGACACAGTCTTTTCATTCCCCCATTTTCTTTTTCTTCCAGAGGAAAGAAAAAAGGAATCCATCCTTTTAGTTTTGATTTTTTGTTTGTAGTAATAATAGATTCAAATAAAACTCAAATGATTAGCAACAATGAATTCACAGAACAGAAATTTATAATTACAAGAGAAGCAGAAGAAGCATAGGCTCATGTTTCCACTACGGAGGAGCCCGCCTATGTCTCAAACAGGAGAGGGCCAAGGTGCGGGCAACATTGGTCAATCAAAATACAATTTAGTATCTTGTATGCACTAAAGAGGCTGGCAAAGAGTTTAATCTAGAAGCCAATTAAAAGGAGGGCAAACGACAAATATTTAATTAAACGCCATATGAAAAAGAGAGAGAGAGAGAGAGAAAGGGAAAGGGAGAAAAGAAGTACTTTATAAGAAGCATCTGCCTGTCCGATTCTGATTCTATGAAATCGTCGTTATCCTGGGTAGCATATGGGTCAGACGCAGATTGATGAGAATTAGTAAGCCTCATTAATTCCCTGCGCATCCCATTTAGATTAGCATTGTTTGTTATATTTGAGCGTGTTCCCGCTTCCACTGCTTTCTTTGCTGTGCTCACCTAATAACGAACTCCAATCATTCAAGAGCACCATACAGATAAAAGAGAGAGAGAGAAGGAAATCTAATGCGAGCTACCAATAGAGAAATACTACACGAACAATTGTACATTATGTTGAGAAAAAAAGCAACAGTATTCTCCTAACTCTTAATCAAGTTCAGTAGTTACAGATACCTGGCTACGAGCATCACTGGTCCACCTCCTCCTGTTCTCAAGCTCCACTTCATCAATGCCATACAAAGAAGGATCTCTAGAGGCCACAGAAATTGCTTTGTCCAATTCATCTACCTTTCTATCAAAAAAATCGTATTTCAGCAGTTTGAATAGGTTCTATTGCAAAATAAACAATAGTCTAAGATGTGTGACAAAGGGAGGCTAGACTAAGAGTGTGCTTCTAGAGCTACAAGCAACTTTCTACCTGTTCTCTACTACGACTTTAACAACCATCAAAGATTGAAAATCAAAACATTTTCACCTCACTTCATTTTCACTCCCCTCCTTACCCTTTCCTATATTGCCAAAAGGGGAGAGCAAAGTCAAATTAGGGGAAAAGGAGAAGAGGGTTAATGGTGATTTTGCTCTTCTTGCTTGGATGCCTAACGGGGGAAAAAATGGAGTGATTAAATAAAAATACATGGATATAATACATTTTATAATTAACTAATGAGCTTTGATATTAACAATATAATTTAGCAAATATGTTTACATATATTTTGCATCATTGCAATGATGACAGGGTTAACTATTCCTTTTGATTTTATGATAGAAGAATATCATGTGAATGACATAAATTGCAGCATTCAACAGAAGCATTTCGGACGGTTAAGTACAAATCCCTCATTTTCCTTTCTACACTAAAAATATCCGCAATCAAGAAAAGAAATATACCTCTTCCCGCTGACCTAGATTGTACTATAATCCAAACATTCCTCGAATGTCTATTTAATAACACCCAAACCCAAATTCCTACAATCGATGGTAGCACCAAACTGGAAGAATGAATAAAACTCATTTAAAACAAATATTTACAGGCCAACTAACTTGTCACTGGTTCAACATACACAATTGGTATACCTGCCAATCAATGCTTTCACAGCTAGTAAGAACTTCCTTTGAAAGATTGGATCGCTCGCCATCATCAGCAGCTTTTTCCCATTTGCGAAAAGTAGATTGCAGCTTATCAATCTTACCAGAAAATGAAAATTAGTCAGTCAATAAATTGCATAACATCCAAAAAAACTCATGCAGCCATTAACAAAATCCCAACTTCTATTTTCTGCTTCAATTACACATACAACAGTTACAGATCGCAACAGGGCTTTCTTCAAAATCCCAAATTTGCAGACAAAAATAGCATACTCAGATCGATTACTTAATGATATTAGAAGCAAAAATACCCCGGTTAATAGTTTCAGCTAAGATTGACGAAGAGGAATCACGTAAAATACTGGATCCAGTTGTACGAGTAACAGAGAAATGATGCAGAAATTTCAAGTAGAACGCATGATTTATGACAAAAATAACAAGTTCAGTTCATTTTCATAATTGAACTTACAACAAAACCTACTTAATATGGGGAAAAAGAAAATGCTTACAGATTCTTGAATCTCCTCCTTCACAACATAGAATGGATCTTGAGCTGAAGGCATAGTGTACTGCTGTTTCCCACTGCTTCACACTAAACACACGAAAATTGGGGAATAGTGCACACTCTGCTTCAACTTCATGTGTTCTTCCCAAAATTATTTATATGCTACAAAATCTATAATATATATATTAAATAAATTTAACTAATTGGGTTTTTCAAAACTTTAATTGAACTTAATGAGTTAAAGGAAAAGAGAAGACATTTTATCAATAATGAAAATGTAAACGAATTTAATTTAAAAACTTTTAATTTGTGTTTTTTTTTTCAGAAAAATTGTCATTTACTTATGAAGTGACGAGTATAATAAATTTGTTGATTTTTATAATAGTTAAAAAAATTCATACTTTCTAACTGGTTTATAAGAAAATTACCCTACTATTGTGTAGTTATAAAACTCAAAATAATTCAAATTTTATTTTTATTAGTATAGGGCCTTGGCAATATGACAAGGTAATTTTGAAAAAAAAAATAAAAACAAAAGGGATGCATTAGTAAGAAAAATATTGGTGTAAGTAGTACTTGGCCCGCTTGGTATTTCTAATTGGACCGAACCTCAAAGGCCCAAAATTGTGAACTTTCGCTTCTGCACTATAATTCTTAACTCATTTTACAAAATTTTACTATTTGTATATATAATTGAGTATCTCAAATTTATAATTTTTATTTTTTATCATAAATAAATTTTTTTCTTAACTTATATTAAATATTGTACTCTAAAAGTTGCATGAAAAATGAATTTAATCAATCTAATTATTGAATTAAAATTATACATCATGTTAATTGTGTGTGAATTTAGTATAAAAACAAATAACAATAAAAATAAGTAAATGATTCGTAATTTTTATAAATTTACCCTCTTCACTAATTTTGTATACATATTGGATAATTTTAGTATCTACTACAAGAAAAAGTTCAAAATTTTCTCAGCCAAAATCTGCTCATTACATCCAAAATTTATTTATATTATCTCATAGTGAATATTTATTTGTATTTATGAAGAGTATATTATATATATATATATA